AACATTTTCTCGAATCGTGGAATTAAATTGGACACGGCCACCCTCATTTCCTTTTACACGTTGATTTTTGCTCTATACTTGCTTGTTATTACAGCGACCGCCGAAAACCCAGGTTCGCACAAATACGTCGAAAATAAAATTAGAATCCACTGAGCCTTATCACTTAGAAAGAGATACTCATCTTTTATTAAAATCCAAAATTCTGTCAATTCCATGCTGCCAAATGTCTGGATTACAGTAATTATGAAGCTTGTACAATATTTCGCGTCTTCCCTGTAAAGAGGCCTCGGCTACCCGGGGCCCTGCGGCGCACAGTTTGGGAATCACTGGATTATGGAGTAGATTAAATGCGAGAAATGGTGGTATAAAGTTGAGTAAGAAATACTCATGCTTGATTGATAGATTGAAAGAGAGAGGGTGTTGAGCCGCTATCCTTAAGAAGGCGACTCAAATTGTCGGCTTAATGATGGTTCTCCTTTCACTCACACTCATTGAACATGTCCGATTAAGCTCATCAATTAAACCAGACGTACCAGATTACGTAAACATAGTCGTACCTTTCCTTGAGTGGTTAAACCCTAATAACCCTTGACTGGGAGGTTAGAGCAGGTGGTTTCGTAGCTTGACTTACACGCTTACATCTCCTTATCTCAATCATGCTTGCTAACGGACTTACATAGTCTCAGTCAGGGCTTTTTCTTGGGTCATTAAATATTGATGACTAGAGCTTGACATAAGCCTTTCTGATCACCCTTAATTAGGACCGATATTGTGTATAGACGCTAACCAACACACATACACTCGCACAAAACTGGCAGGAATAATACGAAAGATAATTAGTCAACCTATTATATATGTATCTGGGCCTGATAGTTTTATGTTGCTTGATAGAGTCTATATAATAGGTAAGATAGAGTCGGATAGTCTTCCTGACCTAGTGTTCCTGTGATACTTTTACAAGAATGAGTTCCAGTTCTGATGATGTCTACCATACGATGGGCGAGAGCTCAGCTGGTTTTCATTTGGAGCGAGGGAGAGTGTCTTGTGGGCTGTATCAACCTAAACGTCGTATTAAAGCCAAACGGTTGCATTAAAACGGAATTTAGCCGTCGTCTTGTGATAAGATCAACATATGAATCTCTTCTTCATGCAGTTTTATACAAACTGAAGGTCTCCTAAATAATGGTATCTCAGGGGATTCATCGTATCTACGAAATACAACCGTTTAGAATTGTTTCGAATGGTAAATCTGCTCAAGGTAAATTAAAGAGCATGATTGAACTTGATAGTAACCCGGCTCTATATAATGTTTACAACCACAAACTATGGATGTGTATTGGATGGCATTAAAAATCAAATTTACTCTACGATTGTGTCCAAGTAGTATCGAATTGCTGCTGGATATGCATCATCTGGTATCGAAAACCGTTTGAAGTTTTAATAAAATCAATACGAGGTCAAAACTGCAGGATGAGAGAACCTCTTTATAGACAAAATCGAATGAAATCCAATGGTATTGCAAGATTATCTCCTAACTTTAGTGTGCAGCTAAATAACGAACTTTGGATCCCATATATGTATATATATGGGATGTATTCACCCTACTTCATTTAAGATGACGAAAGTAAAGTAGTTGGATTTTCCAACAATTATACGAATAGGCCATACGTTTTCATTAAATTTCAGATAGCCTTGCTCTCCAAAAAGTAATCGCATCCAGACTGGATTACAATAGCCTGAACTAGTAGTCGCGAAAATCTACTTTTTAAAAACAAATCCCTTAATATAAAGTGAAAAGATATACAGAGCTTAAGCGTCTTTGTTCCCATCACCAGTTTTCCTAACCCTTCATCGAAACCCAGAAGAGTGAAATCCTTCAGCACTTTCCTTTTATTCCACTGGATCTCATAAAACCACAAATGATCCACATATCAAGGCCTTAGGCTCTGAACGTGATCTTTGACTGCTAGAATGTGAACAGAGAGTCACTAGTGTACCCTGTCAGATGCATCCACGAGCATTTACATATTGAAGGCAAAATCAGATACCCTGAGTTATAATGAAAATATAAACTATAAATAATACCCACTTTGACAACCTAGAAAAGATGGAAAAAGAAGGCGACGCTGGAAGTCGGCAGAGAAAAGGCTGTTGTCTCTGCCTATGGTTGGAGCGCGCCAACAAGCCTGGCCACCCAAAAGACAAGCAAGTGAGCAGCAGGATCGCCGACAGATGTTGACGACAGTCAGGAAGAGGTCTCGCGAAAGAAGCCGGTATTTGGGTAGCGGACATGCAGTTAAGGCATCCATAAGGCGCCACCGAAAGTCGTCAAGAGTCGCCAGAGTGAGCCGCGCAAACATATCATAGCCATAGACAATAGAGCATATGAAAGAACGGCAGTATTTAGAGAGCGAAGTGCTGAAAACAAAAGGGAAAAAGTGG